GTCCCTGGGGTTACCTTAATGTACCTTATCATGGCAGACTGAAATAGCTTGATGTCCAGGAACTTGGGTATTATGAACAAAAATGAGTATACATTGGGGAATGGGTGGTATTTAGGTTCACTGAATTCGTTCATGCTGTTGAAGGACATTTTGATGTCTTCACATTCATCAACAGGAAAAATATTTTCCAGTACCACAGTTCAGGAGGACACTCAAGGTGTGTACAGGTAGCCACTGATATCACCTTTGGTACACTTTAGCTTATGAAGGTTTTTGAAGGAGACAACTCTTGCCCAGGATTTGTCTCCTGTCTTTATAGATGCTTGTCTTGCTAGTCAATGAAGGGAAAGTTATTGTGTACAGATAATGAGGTGTGTATGTTCCTTCGGAATTGTCAGAGTTTTGGGGTCATAGTCTCACTTGTATACAATAAAAAATGAGGAATAGCTATAACAGAGTCATATTCTAGCTTACATAATAAGTAAAAACATACTTGAATACAATTTTTCTAAGGGAAATAATGGACCTCATTCAAGCCTTATTTTTTGTCCTGGTCACATCTACTATAACACTGCACAGAAAATGCCTACTACCAATAATGGCTTTTGCAGAGGGTACCACACTGAACTACTCAGACCTTGTATTTGATTCAGCATCAATTCCTCATTTCCTGTGTATGATGGTTTAGGAATTACTCTCAAATTTAGTACTCCCACTAAAAAGAAAACCACCAAATGCTCCCTTCTCCACTGGGAAACAAAAGGCAGAGATAGATCATAGGTCAAAAACAGAAGTTTACTGGAAGCAGCAATGAGATACGAAACAAACAGTAACAGCAACAATGCTAATAACAATAATGTACAAAGAGAGGATGATTTACATGCAAAATGTTCACCAAGCCGAGGACTCTGAAAAACAATGACAGACAGCTTCTCTGCCTGATATTTTCCCTGTGACTGGAAAGGAGCACCTTTCTTTTTGGAAGCAAGACTCCCTTTTCCCCAGCCTTCAAGTGATGTAAGGTGGTACTGAGTAACACTGATGTCTTGGCCATGTCCTTTGGGCACAGCGTGGGGCAGCCCAGAACTCCTGGGTCAAGTACTCCGGTGGGCTCAGCCTCCTCAGTGGCTGTGACTATTGCACCTGGCTGCTGTAAAAAATAAACTGTCCTGGCCAGAACCAGGAAGAGAAGCACACTGTGCTTTTCTATAAAGACTTATTTTTGGGGATGAACTCTTTCCATCTGTTCGGGAAAGTGATAGCTGAGTGTTTGCAAGGGGTAATTTTGTAGAAAAGATCACAATCCTGTTAAGATTGGGCTAATTTACAGTTGTTTGGTGGGGGAGCTGCAGGATTTTCTACCTTGACTTGGGTTCTCTGTTTGATCTTATGAGTCCTGCCCTACGGGAACTTAACTTGGGTGAGTTATCAAAGCTTTCTGAGTTGCAGAGAAGCACTTCCCGGGAGAGTTTTTGTCTGATTGCAAAACTGTACAGGGTGCTGGTGCCAGTCACTGGCAGTGGGACTTCTGTGAGAGGAGGCTGGGGATTCCCTGTGCTGGACGAAGCCAGTTCCAACCCACCCACCACAGGGCACAGCTGAGCCCACAGCTGAGGCAGGGGTACCCTAGGAGAAACTTCTTTAAGAAACAAGGTAACAAGCCGGAGACGGGAGGTAGCTGTAAGGAGTGGCAACAGCAGAATCCCTAGGGTCAGAGGAGGAGAAGGTTCTCTGTTGTTGAGTATATATTCCTGAAGGATGGCAGCCCATGGAAAACCCCTGTGGGGGAAAAGGAGAGGGCAGCAAAAACTTTAAACATTGATCCTACCATCTCTTTGTACTTCTCCCTGTCTCGCTGAAGGAACTGGGTATAACCTGCAGTGAGAGAAAGTAGGAGTGGGAGTTAAAAGAGCCAGCAAGGAAGGATTCTTGTAGTTGTGATCTCTTTGCTGTTGACCTGTGAGCTCTCTTAGTCCTGTTTGCCCCATTGTAAGACACTGCAGCTTCAGCCTGCTGAGGGGAGAGTGAGTGAGAATCTGGAAGTGATTCTGTCTCTGACCAGGATTTAGTCTTACAGCAAGAAAAGAACTAAGACTATATGAATGTGTTCTATGGCCATGTTTGTGTCTGAGGTGTGCCTAAGCATGCTTTGTGTTCAGGCAGTCTGGAAACCATGCTAGTGTTATGTACCACCATTCTGAGCTACAAGTAGGTGATAGATTAAAGATGCTGTGACAATTCTGTATGGCTGGAAGCTTTACCTTCATCTCCTTCTAAAAAGATCTTATACTTGCTTGTAGTATGATAGCAAGAGATAATGTAGCTGGCCAAGCAACTGACATGCTTGGAGATGTAACGTTGGGAATGGCATGGTATAGATGCTTTGCCCTGCTCCAAGGGTGAGTTCCCTCAACACTGCCTTCCTCATTCAGCTCAGTCCACAAAGCTGAGTTACATGCCATGGATCTCTGTGTGGGGAACGTGAATAGAGGACAGTTTCAAAACATTTCTTCTATATTCTTGGTTTGCCTTAAAGACAAACATTTTCTCTCTTTGGGGCATTGTAAATGATCTTTAGCTGCTGGGGATTTTTTTTTCCATAAAATAAAACTTCAGAAATGGGGTTCATTACTTTTAAGTAGTAAAAGGAGAGCATTCTTTAATATCTCTAGTATCTGATTACTTATGTTAATCAAAAAACCCTCTTTATGTCATAGTTTTACCAGCTCAGCCATTTTCTTTGCAGCAGTGGTTGACTTTACTACCAGCCCATCTCTTCTTGGCTCAAGGAGACTGGCCACAGGCTGGAAAAATTCAGATGTAGATATGGTAGCAGTTTGGTTTGACACACTTGCACAGGATTTGCAAAGACTAATTCTTGATTTATGAGCTTGGAAACTTCTTAAAGATGCATCTGGTGTGAATAAATATGTAATTTGGAGACTCACATTTAAAGAGGTAAAATTAAAAAATATAGTCTTGAGTCATCATTCATTTCCATCAAAGGAATTGTAACTGTTCTTCCTTGTAGTGTGTTCTTCTGTGTGTTACAGATGATCCCTCAAATTCTGTTATGTGTAACTATATTGTTTGAGAGGTTATTATCCCAATATAGTTACTGCTTATAGCATTAAAAGATTGGAATTTTTCAAGACATATGTATGTCAAGTTTAATGTTTTCCTGTTCATCTTTGTTTTACAAAACCTAAATAAAAATGGAAAAAAGGTCAAACTTGAAATCCTTCAGAAGAGAATAACTTAAACATTTATACATCCTTATAATTTTGAACTGACACTAATTAGAACTTAGCATTAATCAACCTTGATGGGGGAAAAAAAAGTCAATGTAAGTACTGCCAGTTCAATGATTTGGCATCATCTACATGGAAAGGATCTGCTGAAGAGTTATCTCATGTTAATTTCTAATGGATTTTTCCAAGCTGCATGCTCTTCATCTTTCTGTATTATTTATTTATTTATTTATCTTCATTATCCTTCAAAGTAAGTATCATCAGTACTGGAAACTTTCTGGAGCATTCAAGAAAAAGACAGTATTAGTCAATTGTATTTTCAAAGCAAATTTATTCCCTCATGATGAAAACAATGGTGGTGTTTTCAGAGTACTTTGAATGTTCGGAAATGTACTTTATTGTGTTTGAAGTAGTCTATCTGCGAAATGTCAGTGCATAGTTAAATTCTGTATTAGAAATACAGAAGTAATTTTCATTAGGGATCTATCAGATGCAACCCCATTTTAAAAATTAAGGGATTAGTCCAACCACAGTTGCACATAGCTGCACCTCAGTGATCGACTTGAATCACTGGGATCTTCTAACAAGTCTATGGTGTAGGGAGGTTGATTGTCTCCACCTGCCAGAAATATTTTTATTGTATATCATTTTAACAGTTCTCTATGTGTTTTAATGGGACACATTGCCCCCAAGAAGGGAAGGCTAGTTCCGTGTCTGACTTATGGAGCTGGCTCATTGTTAAAAAACCCAACAAAACAACAACAAACACAACCAAAAAACCCAGCAATCCAAAATGAAAAAGACTTCACAATGAGCCATCTAAGACTACATGGCAACATCTGGAGACACCCTGAAATCCTGGCCTTCTGGGAGGGCTTTTTTCTCACTGTGGTTGATCTCTGTTGCTACTGCTCTGTGCAGAAATACTGTGGTTTCGTGTGAATGAAGCAGAGATGTCACTTCTTGTCTGGTGAACAAATAAGGTTTCTACTGCTGCTCTTCCAGGTACTTTTAAATACCTTTCAAAGGGGAAAGAAATCATACAAAACATAGACTGCTGCCATCACCACAAATAGTTTCTTATGCAATGAAATAGTTGGAAAGCTGGGACTTCCCCTCCTGCCCCAGAAAGAAGTAGAGCAGGATGAGGAGGTGAGTCCTCTGGGGCAGGCACTGCTGAGGCTTAGTCAAGTGTGACTTTCAAACTTCCTTTATCTTTGCACCCTTCAGAGAAGCATAGGTTGTGATTAAGCACTGTGCAAATGGGCAAACCACAGTTTTGTGATGCTTTTTCTGTTGCTTCTGTCACTTTCTAATAAGCATGTATCCATCCATCCATCCATCCATCCATCCATCCTTCCATCCATCCATCCATCCATCCATCTTTTGTGAAGCAGTTCTTAAAGAAATAGTGTCTGCTCGTGCTGAATGGGGCAAAAAATACTTAGAGTCTCTTAAAATATCACTCTAAGTGGAAGCTTCTTCTGAAGATAAGGGAGAAGATTTGCTGCATACAATAGGAAAAAAAATGTTTTTGGTGTAAAGAACAAACCCATAGAATATTTGTTTATTTGTAGATGCTATGAAATTTGGCCCAGTTCTGTTGGTCATAGGGTAATTTCAGTGTTCCACACCTGACCCTCTGTAAAGATTTTCAAGATCGCTTACTGCTGTAGTTGGGAAAATATTTTAGAAAATCTGTAGTGAGAGCAATATTGAGCCAGATACTTTGGATTTTCTGTTTTGTAGGTAATGATGATACAGTTATGTATCCAAGAAGAATTTACACAGTGGATCTTCCTCCAGAGGGTTATGTTGCAGTTACTCCAGATGCTCTTAGTAAGGCTATTTCTGAAAACTCCGGCAGTAGTGCTGACTCAACAGGTAAGTTTGTATGGTTGTTACTGTGATGTATTTTTCAGAAGGGAAACTTCTTAGCAGCTCTTATCAAGTAGATTCAGGCTGCTACAATAAAGTAGTAGTTGCTGCCAGTGGGTGTCACTGTTTTGCAACATAAGCAAAATGAGGATGGACATCCCTATGGGTTCATTTCCATCATTTGGGGTTTCTAGACTAGATTCAGCATTTGGTGATAGCCATGCTGTGCCACAGATCTCACTGAAATTATGTAGAACCTGACTGAGGATAAAGTCTTTAGCTCCTCCCACTCAAGTGACATGTATATCCACATTATGCCTGCTAACAGTCATACTATTTTTTAAGGACAAATATTAGATAAAACTATATTACTAAGTCTACCCTTTATGTTCTGAGGAATTAGGTAAAGAATTAACAACCTTTCAAATTTGCCTCTCTCAGAACAAGTATTAATCATTGGAGTTGGTAGGGGGGAGTATCAATCCAATATCAAAAGGCTTTCTGATGAGAAATTGTGACCACATAATTCAGAAACACTATTTGATGTAGTCAAATGATACAAGAGAAGAAGCACAGAATCTATAAAGTGGATTCTAATTTGACCTCACTTAAATACATGGTTTTCTGAATGACATTGCCAGAATTTGGTTGATTCTGGCTGTCTTTAGAAAGAAGTCCTAAGGTTAGACAGGACAAATTAATTTAGTTTTTTCAATTGCTGTGTTCCTGTGGATTTATGTTTGTCCAAAATTGTGTATCACTGTCATTGGCCACTAGGGACGTTCTGTAGCAAAGAAGAACTAGCTGCCAGGTAAGGCAGCTGAAGTAAAACGCCTGATTAGCAGCAGTTATTAAGCTACAGTATCAGTTTCACCCTGGAGATTGCCTTAAATGTAAGGAAAACCTGAGATGTAACTTGCAGATATAGAAAGGCAGGTTCTGCTTGTCTTCGCAAACAGTATGCACAGGGGTAAATTTTGAGCTTGGAAATTTGGTCCACAGTCTGTTCAGAGCTCCAGTCAGAATCTGAATACAAGTAAAGCTACAAAAGTAGCTCAAGGGACTGAAGCAAAATACATCATGACTGAGGGCACATCAAGAATATTCTTTCTTGGTCTGCAGTGGCTTAAAGACCATTTTTAAGTGACAAAGAAGTAACTTTATCAGAGTAGCATAAGAGTAGATCATGATAGTTCTTGGATTATGAATGGAAATATGTTCTATTTTAGAGCTTCTAAGTTGTACTCTTCTCAGTTAGACAGGATTCATGTTTGGAATCGAGAAGCTGTTTCTAGGTTACCTGTAACTTTGTTTAGATGCAGAATCTTTGGACAGTGCACTGGGTTTCTCTTTCCTGGCATGTCAGATTCAAGCTGCTTATGCTGATCTTGAACCATCTTTTCTTTCCTTCCATGCCATATAATTTCTGTTTCTTATTTAATGTACTTTTCTTTCAGATATTAGAGGAATGCTTCTTCCACTTCATTGTTTTGCTGATAAGACTAAATGAAATCTCCTAATGCTGTGTAGGTAAATTCAGTTTTAATACAGCGACTAAAGTTGCTTCTAAATAAAACACTAGCATACATGCTGAACACTGCTGCAACAGAGATGTATTCTTATTAAGGCATTAGCATGGAACTTATGTGGCAGATTTATTCAGCTGCTGTTTAAAATCTATGAATAAATCAGATTATGTATGGTGCATATTAGATGTTGCAATGATAGATTATTATACATAATTAGATGTTAGATACATTGCAAAGCAGTTAAGCAGAACAGAATTTAGGATTGAGTTATGTTGTCTCTTTTTAGAGTCGTAAATATCTGCCTGGTTTTACAGTGGATGAAGTATTGAACAATGGCTTTATTTGCTCATTATTTATATTTAATATTTTCCTTTACTATTTCAAAACAAATGTACTCAACCATGATAGCAGTAAGTAGAGTTCTGATGTTGCTTAGTTACAGTATGTACTGCTGGATGGAGAATGCTGTTAGTTGATCCCAGTTTCATTGTTCAGGAAGAGTAAGTTTTGGGTTTTAGCCACTTTTTAAACAGTTAACAAAGGATCTGGAATTCTGGGAGACCTTTGGATTGGTTTGTTATTTGGCTTTGCACTTTGTCACAGAATTAAGAAAAAAAAAGTTTGAAGTGAAGGTTTTTAATCTGTGGCTCCTCTTGCAAGGTGGGTTTGACTATAGATGTTATTCTTACCAGGTATTTGCTTTTTTTTTTTTTTTAACTCCCTTATAGGGAGATTTTCTTACATTCTCTTTTTTACTTGCTCTGGTGTTTCACTACCTTTTAATGCTACATCTTTCTTGTTGCAGTTTAGACCCTTATTTATTTTGTCTAAATAAGGATTGCAGAATTGGAAAATTGCAAGCATAAGGGGACATGGTTCACTTCAGTTGTGTATGTCATTTAAGCATACACATAAAATCTATTGCAGGATGAAGTCTGTGATTTTAGGCAGTGTTCATAAAAAATAAAAGGAACATCTTAAGCAATCATACCATGGATTACTTAGTCTTCTCACTTAGATTTAGTTGTATATCCCTTATTTAGATCTTTTTTGAAGGAGCAAAGAAAGCTCTAATGAGAACCTTTGACACTGAAAGAAAAAGAGGGTGCATGGATGCTTATATGTATGAGTATTTTATATATATAAAATAAATCTGTTATGTTTATAATTGTCCCAGGTATTCCCAAAGGACCAGGTCCATAAGGTGAAATTGAGATTTGATGTATGCATTGTTTAATCCTGATATTATCTTTAGGATTTATTTTGTGTAGCAACAGGTAATCTTCCACTGTGTTTCCTTAAAATGCGAGCATGTTGTTTATGTACTGGGTAAGAAAAGATTCCTGTGCTATCCTTTTCTAGCCCAGAACTAATGGGAATTAATGATGTGGAAATTCAACAAAAAGAAATCTGACTTAAAAATTAATTTCACTGTTTATCAAACTTGTCTCATGAAAATAATATGACTCTATTTTAGGATTTAAATTTTTCAGTTATACATCACTGTGATTTGCTGTATCCTCTCGAAAGAAAAACAAATATGAGTATATATGGATTAATACAACAAGATTGTCAAGAGGAGTAGATGTGCCATGACTAACATTTCATTATGGCAAACTAGTCTGTGGAAGTCTGAAACATTCAGTTACTAAAATACATATTTCAACATCAACTCTTTTTGAGAAATGGTTTAAAAGTTGAAGTTAATTAAAATTATAAAATAAAATAATTTCTTCTTGGCTCTAAAATATGTTTGGGTTTTTCCATTATTATTATTGTTGTTTAAACTGCTAGTTCCATTATGGTTGATGCTGTCAGGATGAAATTAATGATGTCCAGAATAGCTTCTGAACAAAAGGGGAGAAGAAAATTCAGGTAATCTTTTTACATGTCAGTAGTATCTTGATTCACTTAAAGGCAGCCATTTCAGGAAGACTTAATGGTGCTTAAGCTTATGTTTGTTTTTAAGGAGATGCTTTTATGAATCATATGTTGACTACTTACATTCTTGTGCAAGTGGTTGGGAATGTGATACATCACAGAACTGATAGACTCAGTACACCGAGGGAGCAATATGTTTTAAGCAACTAAGGTCAGCACCAAACTTTTTGCTGTTAGGTAGCACCAGATGTGAAACATCCAACGTAATGAATCTTTTTGTAGCCTTGAAACCAGAGGTATCATCAGACCATTTAACATAATCTTCTGTACCTGTTAAAGAGATCTTACCCCACAATGAACTTGGCACTTTGCATTTAGAAGAAACCAAACCAAACAAAAAAAAAATCTATTCACATTTCAAAAATGGCAGAGGTGCTCCACTGCTTCATAGGGCTAACAGTTAATTGGTCTCTATTTAATAAAAAAAAAAAAAAATTTAAAATTACTTTTTCTGCTTTCCTCCACTGAAATGAAGAGCCTCCATTAAGCGGTACTTTCTTACCATAAAGAAGCACAGTAATCAAGTCATCATCAATCTTTTTGGTCAAATGGGTTCACTTGTGCATTGCTCTAAGAGACTTACTTCAGTCCTCAAGTCACATTTATAGCTCTTAGGTATCACCCTTTTCACAGCATCTTTTTAATAATATAATTCCACTGCTGCATGTAGTATTTGTGTTTCTTTACCCTTGAATAAACTAATACTATATCAATGTCTTAGATATGTTTACAAATTAATCAGAAGGTGTGACAGTAGACAAAAGTTACAAGAAACAACTAATTTAAAACTTTTGCTTTAATTCCTCATCGGCTCATTCATGTGTACAGTTACCTCAGTAATATTACAATAAATATTGTTTGTGTAGGGCTTCTTAACTGTAAATCAAAATGTTTAACAATACTCAATGTTACTTATTTTACATAGAAGAATTCAGGAAATAACGTGAAATAAACTGAACTTCTCTTGAAAACAAAGGAGTTTAAGAACACTTACAGTTGCTTTTCTGAATCTTTTATCTGAGAGAAAAAGCTATGAAAAATCCTCCTGCAAATCAGGAGTTGTCTTATAGTGCCTTCTGTCAGCTGCTCCTGCACTGACTGTCCAGAGTGTTCTAGCAACTTCTGTGAGAATATCCAAGGCTTATAACAAGACTAATTGAGGGAATTGTGGAAGTTTCAGAGTAAGGATTCTGCATTTGCAAACTAAAACCAGTAAATTCTTTCCAGTTTTGTTCATTTTCTTAATAGAAAAACAAGCCTATTAAGGGATTCTTATCAACAAAAATCCTATATAATTCATTTCTTCACTAGTTATGCCTGAATAATGAAAGATGCTACAGTACAGCTCTTAGTATAATAACCAGTGTTTTGCTACACAGATGCTCCAAATCAGATTTCAAATCATAGCATAAATAAGTGAATGAGATTGTTACACAGATGTCTAGATTTTTTTACAACTTGCTGAAAAAATAAGTTTTACTGTTCTGCTTTCAGCTACTTTTATCACACTTTGAGGTTTGCTTCTCTTTCCTTCTG